GAAACTCCTTCCAAAACTGTGCCAATTTCTCAGCTTTGTGTCACAAAGCAACAGTAATTCTTTGCCAAATTTTTTTGTGCTAATACAAACCATTATTGACACAGTGTGTGTGTATTGATGGATATTAAAGGTCAGAGAAAAGGCGTGCAGAGATCTCTTTCACCTTGGTTAAATAATCAAGCCACCTACATACATAACCATACGACGACTAGAGTGAACAATCCCATTAAAAACATTTCACTCCTAACGCAGATAAACTAATCTCCTGCCCAAGGACAATCATTACATGTGCTTGAGAGAGGAGAAAAATAGCTATATGGGTTTGGGGAGAAGAGATGCTCAACGGCAACTGATCTTGAGAAGCCAGGGGTATTGATTGCATTAGGCTTGCTGTGAAACAGAGAAATCAATGCAATTTAAAGGCAAAGCTGGATGTGTGGAGTGTGTGCATGCAGGCTGTATTGATACAAGGCTGACTGAAAACAGCAGTGTTGCTATATGAGAAAGCTGAAAATGACTAAATGTGCTTAAGCATAGCTAGACCTCTTTCCGGTCTTTAGCACTGATTGATCCTCTAAAGCAAACTGACAAGTTTTATGGTTTTATTTGTAACCTAGACCTTTTCACTACATTTAGCATTTCTGCATTTGATATAACAAAGAACCTGCTGTAGTTTCCCCCTTTTGTGCTTTTGAGGCAAACTGGGACATGTACCTACAGTACCTTCCAAACCTTTACTTCAGTCTTTTAGAATACCAGGGCAACCTAAGATACTGAATTACCTGTTTATTTTTACCTGCTAAGACAAGGACCGGCTTTAAGTAGGAGAGAGATTAACTAGGCATGGGAAATGTAAAAACAATCAGTTTTCACACTTTCAGCAGATTTATTTTTCCCTACAGTCAGATATTGTAGTTGTTGAAGATGTATTTGGTATTTAAAAAAAAATGATTATACAATGTGACAACAAACAGCTGAATGTTAATGTCTGTGTGGTAACTACAATTCAGCTGAATATGGAAATTCTCTTGCTCTCTCTTGCTTACTTTCACACACACATTAACTTTACAGTAATTTCCTGGGACAGATACTGTGATGTGACTGGGTAGCAGAGGGGGAGGGTGCAGGATGAGAGGGATGCCTAAATGTTCTAATGCACTTTTCTTTTGCCAGCTTAAGTACAACCTAATGTCACCTTGTCATGGCACTGCAGTGTTTCCTAATAAAAGTCTGAAAAAGTCTATATAGTACAAGGCTTAGTCAAAATTTGTGGATTTATTTTTCATAGATTTGCAAATACTTTGCTGGCCTTTGACTGTTCGTTTTTTTAATCAAAAGCAAGGAGACAGAGAAATTGCATTAGGTACATAGATTTGAGGTGCAGAAATCAAAGGCAGGGAGAAACAAAGGAAGCAAAGCAAGCCATACTGTACGAGGGATATAAAAACAAATATTGTGCCACCTGCTGGTCATTACTAGTCATTGTCATTGACCTGAAAGTAATTTTCCATCCATCCATCCTTACATCTTGCAATTAATTATGCTGGACAAGGTAATTTAAAAATAGTATTATTTAGAATGAGGAAAAAATCAGTCCAGCTTTGGGTAACTTCATTTTGAATTTAATATTTTGTATCATGAAGGACCACAGCAATCTTTCTGAAGAGAAAGTATTAACCCATCAAAATCAACCTGATCAGAAACTATACTGTGTGCAAAGGAAATTGAGGCTTTTACAAAATAACCAATTACAGAGTTAATTAGCTGTATTTTTCATACCCCGATGATGTTTCCCTTTCACTGCACATATCTATTTTGTAACTATGTTCAGATTAGATTTATATAATCTTCTGATAATACCCAATATCCATCCCATGGAGAAGTTTTCTTTGTTATTTTAAAAATACTAAATGAGGAAGCAAACAAGTGGCTATCTCATTTACTTTTCTGTCTCTTGTTAAATAAAACCCAGTCTTCCTCTCTTGGGCTGCCAGAGTACAACACTCAGAAAAGTAAAGTGCAGCGAGACAATAAACAAACATCCCTAGGAGATATTTGCCTTTTACAGTTTTCTTTTACAAATATTTATCACATTTATAGAGTGCTGGTGCAGGTGTCAGTTTCTACATACAGTACTGTGCAAAAGTATTAGGCAGCCAAAAAAAATTATATTTAAATTATCTTTATGTTGGTGTGAGACTATGCTATTATGCCTGTCAAAGTGTGTTAGCTTAGCCATTTCAAAACTTCTGCTAAAATCACCCCATTATTTCCAGCAACCATACAATACACACATGTATTTTTTTGACTTGGCACAACTCATATAGCTAATCAATATGTCATTGGCTTTTTTAAATAAGTTAATTATTTAAGTGAGCTGGTGCTGAAATGTAATAAAGGCATGGAAAGGCTGAGGTGCCCCTGAAGAGAGGTCTGGGGACTGAAGCGGTGTTCTTCTAACCGTCCAGCAAGTTAAAAAAATCATACTTTTTATTGTATTACTCTTAATTTGCATATGTTTTAATGTTAAATTATGTGCTTTGTTCTGAGCAAATGTGCACTTTCTACTACTAATAGCTTTAAACATTTCTTCTGACTGCCTAAGACTTTTGCCCAGTACTGTTATCCAACATTAATTTACAATATATGAAAATACTTTCAATACATTCCTGCAGATCAGTAGTGCCGAAGCCCCTCTCTCCCAGGGTGTTGGTTTGAGTCCCACCAGGTTTTGTACACATGTAATTTTGAGCTCTTTCCTGATGTCTGTGTGGGTTGAACCTGGCAATTGGAAAAAAAAAGAAAATATGTTTAAAGGTACTGGTGTTTTTAATTTGCCCTGCTTCTTGGGTTAGATGCAAGGTACACGGCACAGGTGATTATTGATGAAGGATGGATATTTATACAGTTTCTCAGCTTCAAGTTACTGCTTTACAGGTTTGCAAATAAATTTTATTTACAAGTGTACTTCATGTAAATATGAAGAATTTTTTAAGTTACGGAAACTCTTCCATAGCATTTAATATATGTTTCGTTTCAATAAAAAGATTCCCCAAGCCTTTCTAATGAACTGTCAAACCAACAAAAATCTCTGCCAGGAACACACTGGAGCTGAAATTTCAGCCGAGTAATCAAGTGTATTTTCATAACTGTAAACTTTGCAAACATTTGATATAGCAACGATTGTCAGTAAACAACAAAAAATATAAACATGAAAATGAGGATCATGATGACAGTAGTATAAGCAGTAGTAGTTTTACATGTCTGTCTATTCCATTGTTAAAATCAAAACACCCCATATTGTAATACTCAACAGGATTAGCGATGTGTCTTCTTCTGAAGGACACAGATAGATAGATAGATAGATAGATAGATAGATAGATAGATAGATAGATAGATAGACAGACAGACAGACAGACAGACAGACGAAGACTGAAACTGCCGACACTGGCTGGGAAATTCGTTACAGCAGCTAACAAAAAATAAAACAGCAAACATCAATTACAAACATATATTACACAGTACACATATACTGTAGCTTAAGTACAGGAAGAGTTTAAGACAGAACAAACAAACAAACAAAAAACAAAGGTTACACAGAAGAACACCATTAGTGTTCATATAAGATAGGTAAAATAGGTTATTGGAATAATCCCAGTATGCAACAGTAGTTGGAATAGCTATTAGCGTCAAAAGTATCTTAGTCGCAAATCACTTGCTAAACAGCAAATACGTCTGAAGTGATTAACAGCAGTACCATTCTCTTACTTGAGATTGCATCACTACCACACAATAACGACATTTCTTAAACGCGGAGGCAGGACTACGCGTCAAATACGTAACATCCCGTAAATGTTGGAAGCCTGCGACATAGTTCAAACGTAAATCGCGTGAATAAATAATTTTAAATCGCATAAATAACTGGAGATACTTAGTGTTTTCATCACAAGTGTAAGCGCTAATATTATTTCGATATCTACTGTTACTGCATATTAAAACAAAATTCCCTATATTCGTAGTAATACGGTAACAGGCGTCTCGCGCGGTTCCGGTCGGCTCCATATATGCGTGACGAGAGAATACGTGACATGCCATCGGTCGAAGGGCGTGTGTGAGTCACGCGGTGGCGTAGGGAAGTGAGTCACGTGTTCTGCACAGTACGTGTCTCAGAGCGCATGCAAGTGCTGTTATTCTGCGGGACGGCGTGGGCTTCCGAAAGAGTGCGTTGGTGGGGGTGATATATGTCTGGACTGTAGCAAAGAACCAGAAAGAACAGCCACAGACAAGCCTCATTTACACTGGGCTCTTATTTACCTGTTGATTATTGGTAAGAACCTATTTATTTAATAATGGACATTTAATTATCTGTACCTTTCCTTCTTTTTTGATTGGTTTTTGTTACATATAGTTTAAATAGCTCTGAATCCGCTGGTGTAGGGTAGTGCTGAAAAGGACAACTTTTGGCTTGTTTTTCCTTAAGATGTATAGAATGTGTTACCATGAACATGGTATGAATTTTTTAAAGTGATATATTTGAAATACATCTATAATGAAAGTTATGGTCTCGCTTCTCACAAATGAGTTAAAGTAGTGTGATCATCGCGCTGAATTGTAGGACTTTTTTGTTGTACCAAAACCGCTCAATTTCCGCCTGTGTCAGCTGAGACGTTTTCAGCTTTATTAGCAGCTTCGCTAAACTTTATATATATATATAAATAATTTTATATATATATATAATTTTTTTTTTAAGAAAGCACTCTTTTATTATAATAAAGCTCTGCTTTCACTTCACCTAAATGCTGAGAGGATAACTTTGGCTTACTGTAAATGTGATTTTCGTGATATATATCAGGCTTAGCACTTCCACAAAATAGCCATCATTTGCTTCTAACCACTTCTGGACAGGTGGTCTGGAGTCTGGGCGCAGGGGTAGAGTACACCTCAGACGTGGGATGTCAGCCCATACCGGGCACTTGCACACAGTCATTCACTACAGGCAATTTATAGATTTACATTTATTTTACTTAGCACATGATTTTAACCAAATTGACTTACAGGTGAGGCAAATAGCACATTATAAACATACACCTGTCGAGGCTGAGCTTCCAAGGAATGCCCAGGTACAAGTGTAAGCAGTGCAGGATGAAGAGCTGCACAACAATTTCCAGGTGTCAGGCTATGCAGGTGGAAACCAGAGAACGCAGAGGAAACCCCCATGAGGGGGGGGGGGGGTTGAAGGTGGGGTTAAGATGACCAGCACTGGAAGCATGGAGGCAGCAATGTGAACCTGTGAGCCACCATTCCACCTACAAAAATACACCATTAGATGTGTCACAGGTATAAACAGATATATCTTAACAAAAATGATTCCGTACCTAAGAAATGTAATTCTGAAGTCCTAGTTTGCAGAAACACAAGCTCTGTCTGCAAAAGGGCAATCTCTTTACTCTTGAAATTAGACATGACTACATTCAACAAGTGACTAACATTGAACTGCATTGTCTGTAACAAACTTGGTTCACATGTTGCATTGTTGGGAGATTTTCATCACAACAGCAATAGAAAACATAACTATGTTAATTATATTTTTATGCAAAAACATTTTTATATAGGATCCTATGTTTTCCTGACATGAACAATATGTCAGGTCATCCAACCACTTATCCTGGGTAGGGTTGAGGGATGATGATATATGATTCCAAGGAGAAAATCTTTTACTTACAGTAAGATGCACAGATACAACCAGTGCAGGCAATGTTATGCTGAAAGCCAGCACCTTGCTTCCTCCCATTTCCATACCTCTCGCGTGATCTGCCAGTGAAATTGGCTTCCTAGGTGTGAGCTGCCATTGGGCAAGTTGTGAATTTTCCCAGTTGTCCGGTCTTTCTCCCCAAGCCCTGGTATTGTATATTGTTGTAGAAATTTCAAGTCAAGTAAGAGTCTGACAAAACTTTATTGTACCGCAAAGCTTTGGGGAAACAGGCACTCGGCAGTTTCTCGTGTCTTGCGTTCAACAAGTACATGCATCTTTTATAGCCAAAAACACGCTAGTTTAAGGCAGGGTCGACCTATTCGTGATCATTCCTGTGGTTTCATTACCCTGTCTAAACAAGTTGAGTTCTTCATCTCACTTCCCCATATGTTCCATATGTTTTCTCTTTCCACATTACCTTGACCCCTAACATACATGCATTTCTTGTATTGGTTTCTGCAGCAGCCTTGCTTCTCGGGTCAGGTCTGTACCGTTACTTTTTGCAGAATAATAGCTATCATACCAAAATATGTTAGTTCCTCTTATCTAAAAATGAAAACCTATTACTTAAGCAAGCTTGCATTATTGCATTGAATGTTTAGTATATTAAATGTTTCAAGGCAGAAGTTAATTTTATCATTGTAGTTGAATCAACAGTGTTATCATTATTAATTACTGATTGAATTTGCATTGAATTTGCATAACCATGGATTTTTCTACCACAATATCCTATATACTGGGGTGCCAGACATTCCAGTCAATCTCGCCGTGTGTTTTTTAGTTTGATCACGGAGATAATTAATAGATAATGTTGTATGTAATTGGTGGGCAACCAGTCCACGGCAAAAGATCGCATTGATGCCCTTTGACAGCAAATTCCTGCGCTGCTTCCCATTCCGCCCCTGTTAGCTTCTGCCAGAAGTCGTCTATGACGTCTTTTTTTTTTTTACCATGATAAGGGTGACGTGTTGAGAACAAAGCAAACACTTTTAGTGATGGAGAGCAGATGTTGGTCGTGTTCATTTAATAGATATGTTAATATAAAATTGTAACAGTATATTGTACAAGCAGTGTGATTCTGCGATTTGAGAGAGAAACCCATTGTTTCAGTAGAGAATATACTTTGCTAAACTTCCTGTCTTGAATCTTTATATCAGCACTTTATCATACTTCAGTGCACTGTGCCTTCATCTGTGTAAGTATGGGGTAGTGGTGGCCTAATGGTTAGGGATGCGCACTTGTAATTGAAAGATTACAAGCACTGCTCCCCGTGTGCTGAATTAGCTGTCCCCTGCTATGTCACATATGGGTTAAATGCAGAGGCCACATTTTGTTGTTGTGTGCTGTGGAGTGTCAACAATGATCACCAAATTCTAATCACCATGGGCTATCCCTAAATTTCATTATGCTAGTGGGAGAAGCACAAAATGGACTTGGTGCTCCATTGCAGGGGAATAAATCTGCACACTTAATCATAGACATAAATAATAGATAAATCATGGAGAGCATCATATAGTGAGTCCTATAACCATAATTTAGCCTGTATATGTCCAGTATGCAGCCTAACATGGAAAATACCATTAAAGGTGACAAACTGCAGTAGATGCAAATGTTTCCTTTGTGCCTAGGCGGATGTTTACAGTTATATGTGTTGCCCTCTCAATTCTGAGTGGGTCAGCAGTGGGACCTGTTATTTAACAGGTAACATGCTAGTTAATGCTTATTCAACCAAGTTGTCATTTGATTCAAGAAGCAAATCAGAACGCTGTTTACATTAAACACTCTGTCCCAACTAAGCATGGACTGACATACGATTTTATAGGCTCACACTTTTATGGCCTTAATTTCTGGAACAGCTGAAACAAGTAACCTAGTCTAAAAGTCATTTCCAGGAAGAGGCTGAGCCCTGTGCTGTGGTTTCTGAGGTGGAAAATGCATAATCTTGCAAAGCTGTTTCCATTTAACAGCTGAAGTGATATCATTTTATGGTGTTTGCCCGTTTGTTCCGACCTTGGTGTCTCCAGTACACAGTGAACGGGAACCGAAACAGTACTTTAAGAGTTTGTAGTTACAGGGAAGGTTTTCTCGTGTATAGTGAAGTTTTGGTAGAAATATTTAGATATAATTGTACAATATTATTTATTTGTGTATTTATAATTGTATTGAAAGCTCTTGAACTCAAGTGCAGAACACAAGTCTTTGCCCAGTATATCATTTGGGCAGTAATAAAGATACTACTAAATATTCAGAAATGAATCATTTGTAGGTATGCTGTATTTTGACAAACTATTGGAAATTGTTTTGGTTTTTCATTTAGCTCCAATCATATGCTAGAGAAAATGCAACCATACAGTTTGCATTATTATTAATACAGTATTAGGAAAACAGTCAGCCAAATGGTGGCGTCTCTCTCCACAGCGGGCAATGAGGAGGGAAGTAAGCTCGGCGGTGGACTTCCTGAAGCGCCTTGCCCAGCACCGGGGTGGCGTCGATAAAAACAGGCTTGCTCACTTTTCAACCAGACTCAAAGAACTCCTGTGCAGCAAGTTCGCTGGCCACTGGTACCCAGAGAACCCCAGCAGGGGGCAGGCTTTCAGGTAATAAAACCTGGGAATCTTGAACGAAACTGGGAATCTCCTTCCATCTCCAAATGCTGAGGGGTTGGTTGTGGGGAAACAATAACATAGGTAGATTCTGTTATTTTTCCAAATAGTAAAGTTTACTGTTTTCCTTAAGCTTGCCATGCAGAAACACCATTAAACCTAATGGCTTTACAAGAAACTAAGGAATTTGTTTCCTTGTATCTTCCAAGAAACACAACCTTATGGAAACAAAGCAGTGCTACAGTATACTGACCATAACACCATCACTTACTGTTCATAATTACTTTGGTCCACTTACCCTTGACAATCCAGATCAACATCACTACTGTTTTTCAAATTTTATACCATCAACTTCCAGATGATTGCAGTAAGAATGGTCATTATTAATGTTTGTCAGGCTTTCCTCTGTGTTGCAGCTAAATTCAGTAATACACAAGAATACAGTATGAAACATTGTGAAAACACTGTAGCCTTGATTGTTAGCCTTGATTGGTGTTGAACTGATATCCCTGTGTTGTGTTTCTAGGTGTATCAGGATAAACAGATTTGGTCCCTGTGATGAATTATTGCAGCAGGCCTGTGAAGAATGTGCACTGAAGTCGGCAGAACTGGGCTTGCCCCTTGAATTCAGCATGTGGATCGATCCTGGGGAGGTGTGTGCCCGGTGAGTCACTCTTTAATGCGACTCCACCAAAAGAACTGAGACACACAGGAAGTGATTCATTTCTGCAGTTTGTTTGATCTGGTGATAGGAATGAGGAACAGGACAAGTGAAAGAGTATTTGAAATGATGATGAAAACAACTTAATTGCTAAGCTTAATGTTAATTTTTATAGAGGAAGTGTGTGTGGGGGTGGGGTTTGCTGACACCACCTTTTGCTCATACCGTTCATAACTCATCACATTACATGTTGTAAACATTTTTTTTTTAGCTTGGGGGAGGGATCCCCGTGCTTCACTGTAGCCCATTTTGAGGAAGAGAAGGAATGGGAGGAGAATAAAGTGCAAGAAGACAAAGGAATAGCCAAAATGGACAAGGGCAGTCCAGAGACCTCCGACTATCATTCTGCCAGTTCCTCTGACTGTGGATCCTCTACCTCCAGTGACAATGAAGAAGAAGGCAAAGAGAGAGAAATGAAAGGTGAAAAGGATGAGAAGGATACGAAGATGGATGGGAACACAACAGTTAAACCCTTGGGAATCGCCATGAGGCCTAGAATCAGGGCGCCCCGGGAACCAAAGGCCAGAATATCACAGGTAAATTGCTTAGATAGCGGCGGTGACCAGTGTCGGACCTTGTTAGCCGGTGTATATAATGCATGACTCCTGACTAACTTTTTTTACTAGCAGCACTGGTACCCTTTACTGAAATTGTCGGAGTACAAGCACAAAATTTGAATGGACCTTTTTTTAAACATAAACACCAAGGGTTATTTCTTTGTCACTAAAGGGCCGAGCGAGAGCACTTATGGACCGGACACAGGTAGATGACATCCTGCACAAAGTTGTCCCCAAACCGCATTGTCATGATGACGACAACATCCTAGTGTTTGCTCTTCACTTTAATACCTCTTTGTCTCCCTCACACACACACAAACTAATATGCTTGAGTGTCATTTAGATTTTATTAGGGCTGTCACTAACAATTATTTTTCTATGAATTAATCTATAGACTTTTTACCGATTGGTTGATTAATCTGAATGGTTCATTTTCCTCCAGAAAATCGAATTTACCATTTCAGTTCATTTTATTTTGACAACAACAAACTGTGTTATTACAGGGTTTTACATAATGGATGCTGACTTTTTGGTCATTATTTTCGGCAACAATTCGATAAGCAGATTAGTAGTACAGTGGTACCTCAGAACTCGAAATTAATCTGTTCAGAACTCCGGACCGAATCCTAAAAAGTTCGAGTTCTGATCGAATTTCCCCCATAAGAAATAATGGAAAACCAATTAATTGGTTCCCGGCCCCAAAAAATGACACCGAAGTATTTTTTTATTTTTTTTTTTTTTAGCATTTAAACGCAAAATGAACCGGACAAAACAAGAAAAGCGTATACTGTACTAAACATTTATTTATCAAAACACTCATTTTTAAAGTAAGAAAATAAATGTATCCAAACAATATGTAAAGTTAAAAAAAACAATGTTATGCCCCGATCGATCGTCCGCTCCTTCCATGTGCTACGCCCCCTCGTTAACCCCGTGTGGAATCCCCGTGTGATCAGCTGTTATTGGTTGTTGTCATTAGTCCTCTGTATTTCGTCCGCGTTTCAGTTTGTTTCCCCAGTCCGTTCATTGTAATGTCCATCTGCGTTTTGCCTGCCTTACCTGTAATTAAACCCCGTATTCCCCAGTACCCTGACGTCTGCGCCTTTGTCTCCGTTCCGTCCCCGCTGGGCACGACGATATTATTATAATTAAATGTATTAATAGTTTATTATTAATATTAAAATAATAATAAATCTTAATTTTAAAATGTATTTTATTATATAATAATAATTACTGTTACTGTCTATCATTGTCTAAATGTATTTTTACTGTCTAAATATATGTATTCAGCTAGTGTAAACATGCACGATGCTATCACAGCGAATGCGAGGCTGAGACTGAAGCATTACCCTTTGTTTCCGAGACGTGCCACGTGACTCATTTACCCGCGTGAACAAGTTATCTTACAGTAGGTCAGTGTTCACAGTTCGACTTCCGAGATTCAGATCGAGTTATAGGTATTTTTTTTTCGAATTGGTTGGTTCGACTTTTAAAAAATTCGAGTTATACTGTAATGAGTTCGAGACCTGAGATACCATTGTATGTCTAAAATATTAATGAGATGGGTATTGTGATGCCCAAATGCTAGTAATCTGTATAAATTCGGTGTATCTTTATGCTTATTAAGTTCGGTTAGTGGTTAATGGAAGCAAGCAGTGAAGTGGCAATGAAGAAAGGGACAACTTAGCAACCACAACATCTTTTAAAATAGGAGATATTGTGCATAAATAAGGTAAATAGATGGTGGTGTGGACTTTTTTCTGACTGAAGTCTGACATTTTTATTTCAATTCACAAAATATTTTCTTTAATTCAGTGCCCATTTTCATCTCAGTTTTAGTTAATGATAATAACACTGGTCCCAAAATGTCCATTGCACACGACACACAATGGCACCGTGGAATAAGCCCAGATTCTGGCCGAAGCGTTTTCTTAAACATTTATTCAATGGAGATACAAAGGTATCAGGTAGACAACTTTATGGCTTTAATAATGAGTATATTTAGCAGCTAGAAGGACGAAAGATATTAAAGCTCTCCGTACTAATGGTAATATAATAAACATGAATAGACAACACAGTAATTTTGCCTACTCTTGTGGTCCATCATCTAGAATGCGGCTGGTCTGTTCCCACTTCTGTTGTTCGTGAACAGCGTAGTGCTACTGTGTTATTCCATCAAAACTTTGCACAATGTAAAACCACCTTTTTGTTGATGATAATTTAAACTACTCCTATAATAACTTAGTAATATCAGAGGAAAGTTATTGTCATAATACATTGAAGCGTTTTAGAAATCATTAAGGTAATTTTCTTAATATAAAATATTAACA